CTACTGTTTACACTGTTTCAGTAGCATTGTATAACGTGGTGTCACTATGCTATACGATGACGTGTTTGTGATTTGAGGTGGAGACAGTGAGTTCCTTGCCAGGTTTGAAATGTAAACACCTTTCAGCTTGCATCCCTCTCACTCTCTCTCACATTGACTTACAGTAGATAATGAGGTCGGAAAAAAACTGTCATTGTCTCACACCTCCTGCAGTTTTTTCATCAAGAGGAGGGAAAAGCAAAACATTCTGGGCAAATGTTGAATGGGTGTAACACTAGAGGAAAATAAATTCCTTCCTGACTAACTGGATGAATAATTGGATCAAATATTGCTTTGTTGAAAATCATTCATCCCTATAAATGTTTTGTTATTTCTAATCTAATAGTATGACCTCCCATAGGCTACTGATGTCCCATTTTTTTTTGCACAGATACATTTGCATACTAGCATAAAAGGATGAGAGGTGCTAGGTTCTCGTATTGTAGGTTTCCACCAATTTTAATAGAAGGTTCTTTTTAAGGAGCTTAATCTTTGGGCATGACTGCTCTCCCACCAAAAAGGACCCCAGACAGAAAGAGGTGTGTTAAGAAATCTACTGACGCAAAACCTGACAAAGAAGAGTCCAAAGTGGTTTTGTTCACACAATCCCCCTTCATCAGAGCCTAAGGTGTATTCAGAGGGGAATCCCTTAAGGGATGGCTGGACTCTGGACTACTAGGAAACAATAGTTATCGCAAATAACACATTCGACAAGGGTATGCAGGTGAAGCCGGTCCTTCTGTGTTTCTATCAATAAAACCACTTAGGACTTGTATGTATATAGATTTGCTTACTTATATAGATATAAAATATATAATATATATAAGAGAGATATAATGTGTGTATGTTAACCTGTGTCTGAACTTGTGTCTGAAATATGCACACTAAAGTATTTACTTATTCTCAACTGTTCGATCTCGTTTGAAACCTTGTTTTAGAATCTTTGATGTGGTCTTTAAAGATCTTTGAGTACTAATTACAGTGGTACTTCGGTTCACAAATTTAATTGGTTCCACAATTCTGCTCGCGAACCGAATTGGTCACAAACCGAATCAAATTTCCCCATAAGGTTTAATGTAAATAAGGTTAATCCGCTCTGACCCCTACGAACGTGGTCGCGAACCGATTTTGGTCGCAAACAGAATCAAATTTTCCCATAGGGTTCAATGTAAATGAAGTTAATCCGTTCTGAACCATATGTAAAAAAAAAATGTAACCACAAAAATATGAAACAAAGTACAGTACAGTATGAAGAGAGTGAACACCAACCTTTCTTGGGGCGACTTCTGGCGTGGAGGACAGGAAGGAGGGTGGGGAGGAGATTATTGTTTGGAGGGAGAGTCCCCCCTCCATAAGGGCATCGGGAAGATCTCCTTCAGGGGTTTCCTCTCTTCTTTGTCTCCTAGCTGCAGGGTCAACTTTGGCAAAAAATCTTTCTAATGTCACTTGTTTTTTCCTGCGTGGCATAACCCTCTGGAAATGATAGACCACTCTACACGTTCTTGTCACCTTCATTAACACTCTGCACATTTTTGTCACCTTCATTACTGCTGTGCATTCTTTTTACCACCATTCTTGCTCTGCACTTTCTTGGGAGCCATGCTGGATTGAATACAGTAATACTGTACAGTACTGTGCTAAAAAGCACACAAAAAAGCTTCACAACAAGTGTTCACCGCTCTTTCTCCGACCGCGATCACGACTAGAAGCCACGACCACATGTCAGAGCGGGGAAGATAGCTATGGTCGTGTTCGTCACCCAAAGCAGAGTTCACGAACGTAGGCAAAATTTTGCTGAACTTCCTGTTCGCGAATAGAAGCGTTTGTGAACAGAGGTACGACTGTATTTCTCAGTACATGCAGATAGAGAAGTGGGTTAACGCTTGTTTTAAAGCTGTTTTACTGCTTGTTAGGAATATGTAAAATGTCCATAGTCTGGGCACTGGTGCGGTTTAGGTTTGTTAATTAAAATTTCTCTAAGATGTCTCTTTTTTTTTTTCACAATGAGTGTTTTATACAGAGGCAACTATAACATTAACAGCATGTGTTTGTATCTCCCTTATATATCCTAAGATATTCTGTGCTTTTGTAGTTGCTGCTTGACATTGAGTGCTGCTGCTGAACCTATTGTATGCCTGGCCTAGATGCATAACTATACTTTTTTCACAGATACATTGAATTTGACCTTTCACTGCCTATGTTGCCATTTTGTAAAGATCCTTTGTTAATATATCACTATCTTGATGAGTTTTAATAATTCTGTATAGGCAAAAATGGTACCATGATTATCTATTTCTATCAGTTTATGATGGTAATTGTTTGTCTACTTGTTTACAGGCTTGACAATTTTAACCTTTTTGCTTATTTTTTTTCAGGGGAGAGTTACTGTTAAAAATGAACAGACCTTTAGAAGCTAAAGAAGCCTATATCAAAGCTTTGGAACTTGATGGGGCAAATGCAGATTTGTGGTACAACCTTGCTATTGTTTATATTGAGTTGAAAGATCCAAATGAAGCATTAAAGAACTTCAATCAAGCACTAGAGCTGAATCGGAGACATAAGCTTGCCTTGTTTAACTCTGCTTTACTTATGCAGGAATCTGGTATGTTTTAATAAATACGTTGTTTAATAATCTGTTTTCCATATATAAAAATAACTAGGCTGATTTACTAAAAGAATTGATAGTCTTTAGTCAAAACATTATTATATTATCCACTCATACAGATTAAATAAACAGGAATTTGCTTTCACCTGACTTAATAATTGAAATTAGTACTTGGACGAGATTTTTTTTTTACTGACATCTGTAGAAATTCTAAAAGTGTATACCCAGCTTAAGAAGTAAAGAAGGTTTTTTGGCTGTTGAATAAAAAAAAAAACAACAACTTAAAATACTTAAATCTGCAAGCACTAAAAATATATTTCATTACCTTGCATACTTATGCAAACATTTCTTTCACTGGAATGATTTGTGAATTTATAAATCCATTTGCTTATGTATCTTTATACACTGTATATCATGGTAAATATTTGTTTGCAAATTTTCTGGATTTACAAAGTTTATTGAAAAATCATGTTTTTAGTTCGTTTTCTATGTGTTTTTTTTAGCACTGATTATTTTTGTTTTTTTAAAGGGAATCCTAAACTGAGACCAGAAGCCAAGAAAAGGCTTTTAACGTATATTGAGGAAGAGACAAATGACGCAAATGGGTATTTCAATTTGGGCATGCTAGCGATGGATGAGAAAAAAGATTTAGAAGCTGAAAAATGGATGAAGAGAGCAATACAGTTACAACATGGTTTCCGAAGTGCACTCTTTAACTTGGCTCTTCTCTACTCCCAGACTGCAAGAGAACTGGAGGCACTGCCTGTCCTGGATGAGCTGCTTCGCCATTACCCGGACCATATTAAAGGGCTTATACTTAAAGGGGATATCCTCATGAATCAAAAGAAAGACATCAAAGGAGCTAAGAAATGCTTTGAAAAAATAATAGAAATGGATCCCAAAAATGTCCAAGGGAAACACAATCTTTGTGTGGTTTATTTTGAGGAGAGGGATCTCTTAAAAGCTGAAAGGTGCCTTGTTGAAACCTTAGCCTTAGCCCCCCGTGAGGAATACATTCAGCGCCATCTCAGCATAGTGCGAGGTAAAATAATGGCACTAAATGCTGCTAGTGCTGGGCAGGCTGTGCCTGGAGCAACAGTTTCTCCTCAATCGCCTGAAGGACAAAGGAGGGAGAACAGCGAGACAGGGGAAAAAAAAACTCCTTCTGAAAAATTGAAAGAGGAAAGCAATATACCAAAAACGAGTCCACCAACAAAAATAAGAAACAAAGGACCTGTGAAGACCAAAAGTCATCAGGAGAAAAATGCAGACAAAGAAGTAAAGCAGAAATCAACAAAAGAAATCAAAGACATTGAAAATAAAAGAGTTGCCGCTTTGAAGCGCTTAGAGGAAATAGAGCGTATACTGAGTGGAGAATAACATGAAGAACATCTTTCAAACTTGGGGAGGGGTGTGGACAGATGTAATAATACTTGTGTTATTCACTCCAGAGCGCAGTATACACCTGGGTAAGGATGAAAGCAAGTTGAGTAAATAACTGCATAGGTATCTCACACTACTGAACAAAGACTGGTTTTAAGGATTTGTTGCTTACTTCAACCAAACTTTTATATTATCCACCAGAAAAGCAGTGTGCGTGTGTGATTGATATATATATATATATATATATCAATCTATTACACATACATACATACACGCACATATTTTTTTTAATTGTCTTTCATTGATATTGATTATTGATGTTAGCTTTTAAAGCTGCTTCATGATAATTTACTCTATTGTGCATCTCATGACATAATTCAAGGAAAATGTATATGATTCCGCCCAATGAACATAGAAAATGCTGTTTGCAAGGTGAACTGCTTTTGAGAAAATTATTATGTTGGTACCGGAAAGTTTTCAAAAAGTTGAGTGATTGGTTTACCATTTTACTGGAAATGACACTAGGCACTTAGACAAGATACTTGTTTTGTTCTGTGTTAAAATCCGTTTTCCCACCAAACTGTATTACTTCCTTTAAAGAAAGTTGAATTATTTAGTAAGCGAGAACATTCATAATTATGATACGCTAATTTTCCTTCAAGAAATCTTGTACAGGAAAAGAGGCAATATTATTTTTGCATGGTGTATGCAAATAATGTTTTGTGTACATAATGTTTTCTAAGCAGGGACTGTATAATTTGTACATTTTAGACTTTCTTGATTGTGAAAATTTGATATCATCACAGTTGAACTAAATCCTAATTAAAGTGGAGGTTATGGCTTAAAATGAGGAGTTATTGAAATCATGAATATTTTTTGCTGCAGAATTTCCTTGCAAAAGTTTTTTTTTTCCTTTTCTGTTCTTGTTTCAGAACTGTTCTGTTGTAATATGCAATGGAATTAAGAATGGCAACACCAACATTTCTGATGTTTAAAATGTTGAAGGTGCAAGGACAACATGAAATTATTTTTTTGTGTGCCCCTTTCAGAAGTAGTAATTTTTCTTAAATTATTATTATTTCGCTTGAATTGCTTTTTTGATATTTATATAGTGCTTAGTAGAGTTCTTCATGAAAGTGAACCTGTTGTGAGTAATACAGTATGCAGCCACTACCTTAACCAGCTTGTTTTGGAAGCTTCATATTTTTGAGGTGTTTTCCTCGTCCTCATGCTTCAATAGTTAGTAAGTCAATAACTCAGAACAAGTATGCAGCTCAGGAAATCTGAATTCATTGGCTGTATAGTATATACTTTTTTCTTTTTTCTTCTAGATGGCTTTCAAAGTGAAGGCAGCAGTTCAGGGAGACAAATATTCCATTTATTTTATATAAGACAACAATCGCATTATCTGTATATTTGTTATGACAGGTTTACTTTATCTGAGTACTGACCAGTAGGGTAAATGGACAAGCCATCAGTAAGCTATGATCACACAGACTTCAGCTTACGGTACACATATTCACACACAGTCTAAAGCTGTTGATGCTCCCCAGCTGAAGCTGGGACTGTGGGCTGGCCTGGGGTGCAGTTTATCAAGGAAGGACCTTGTATTTTAGAGGGTTTGTAACAATGTGAGAGCTTCTGAGGTTTGCATTAATATCTGCCTAGCCCGACATGAAAGCTATATGGTGCCACATTATATTTTGTGCAGAGCACACTTTATTAAACTGTGCTGGCCTGCTTGTCAGGACAATATTTCTTTTTAATAAATTGCTGGAAAACCTAATTTCTAATATTGGTTTATGTATATTTGTGTATGTCTTTTTCTTAATTGATGTGTCAGTTATTATTGTGCGTGTCTTACCTTCCAATTTGATTTCATTGTTTTGCAGAACTTCTATTTTCCTACGTTATTTTGCCAGTTTTATTTTTAAGCACATATACTGTTTTTCAGGTTCTCCAGTTAAAACTGTATTTTGTTTATGTGAAGATATAGGCCAAGTTATTCTCTTGAAAAACCTAGGAGGCAACAATGACACCAGACTATAAATTACAGTGATAATTTGGTCTTCTGCTGTGGTAACTGAATAACTGAATGCACCTAAATGGAATAAGACACTAACTGATCAGATATTAATGCTTGTGACAAGTCAGATTTAATTTATATAAGTATGGGTATATCTGTTTAAAATGTATATTCTAGTGCAGTTTTTAATTTTAGGTGCATTTTGGGGGGATTTAAGGGGTTCTGCTCATTATGGATCCTAAATATAAGCCAGTCAGTGCTTTGCAATATTTCATATAGCTCTTATTTCAAGGCAAGTGGGCAGGCTCTGGAAAATCAGTGGTTTATCATAAAAGCAGTAGCACATTATGAAATAAAGTTGTGAACCAAGTTGTTTAATAAAGCTTTTTGTTTTCCATTTCTGCTTTCATGTATATTTCTGTTTAAACAAGTAGCATACTTGAGGACAATATGCCAGTTTTTTTTTTTGTTTTTTTTTTTACCCTTTTGTCATCTAGAAGCATTCAAGGCTCAATATAAGATTTTTAACACCATGCTCTAACACTTTAGACCCAGAATAACCAATTACGAGCCTAAACACTGCTACAAGGGGAGTGCTTAGGTCTATGAAAATACCACTTTATTTGTATATTTGTATAGGATTCTCAGGACCCTGCAGTGGATCAGAGCATTGAGGGACCCATGGTTATGGTAAGTGGAGACACCTAAGGGTGCTTTGGACAAAGCTTCAAATATACTTTACTAAAATTGTGGTGAGCAGATGATTACTAAACTGTAAGTATTCAGAGAATGTAATGAAATGCAGCTAGCTTAACTTTTTTTTTTTTTTTTTTTTTTTTTTTTACCCTTTTTTTTGTTTTTTTTTTTTTTTTTTTTTTTTTCTAACCTTTTTCTGGCTTTATCTTATGTTCATTAGTTGGATCTGCTAAGCTGCCTGGCTGCATACAGTGGCCACATACATTCACCTTCTGCCCTGCATGGACTATTAAGCTTGTTATGTCATTTTCCAATACAATGTCTTGGAATTCAGGGATAATAAATAAATTCCACGGCCTGCTAAATGTATTTCAGGAAATGCAGTGAAACACATTGATGCATGGTAAAGACAAGCTGGCTTCAAGAAGATGTGGGAAGACACAGGAAGAAGGGAATGCTGATTTGTGAGGAGGAAGTGGGAGACACAGGCAGGAGAAGTAGAGCCGAAATCTGAGGAGGTGTTGAAACAAGTAGAGAAAGAGGTGGTCAAAGCAGGCAGGAGGAGGGGTGAATTTGTGAGGAAGAGGTGGAGGGCGCAGTGCGAGGAGGATATGGGAGATGCAGGCAGGAGACAGAAAACTGACATGTGAGGAGGAGGAGAGGGAGTGGAAAGATGTAGGCAGGAGAAGGAGAGCTAGCTTGCGAGAAAAAGGTGGGTGAGGCAGGCAGGAGGAAGGATAATTTGTGAGGAGGAGGTTGGAGATGTAGCCAGGAGGAGAGCTGAGTTGTGATGACGTGGGAGAGACAGCCAGGAGAAGGAGAGCTGAACTGCAAGGAGCAGGTGGTAGGCACAATCAGGATAAAGTGAAATTGCGGGGGCAATGGAGATGCAACCAGCAGAAGGAATAAGCTTGCGAGGAAGAGGTGGGAGACTAGGGCAGGAGAAGCAGAGTTGGCTTGTGAGGAGATGATGCAGGCAAGAAAAAAAATTGACTTGCGAGCAATAGAAGTGGGAGGACTGGTGAGAAGTTGGAGCTTTACAGAGGAGAGTGTTTTTGAGCAAGACCCATAATAACATTTATGTTAAATACATATGCAGTAAGCTATTAAGGTACTCCCTCTTTAAGGTCTACTTAATCATATTCACCTGTGAAAATCAAAATTGTCTTCTTTTTTTATGCATGGACATGGGCTTCTGCCTATTCCTCCATGGAAACTAGGGATAAGCTGAGGACGACCCATGGCCTGGGGAACAGTTCACTGCCTGTTGCATTTGTGGGAATCTTTTGCTAAAGCTAATAGCCTCTCAATTCTGACTGATGGGCTTCAGTGTCCAGGGTGCAATGAGAATACCCTATTTGCTCGCAGAGAGTACAATTCTTAATTGCTATTGGTTACTACATGCCACATATTGATTTTCCAGTTTGTTAAGGATAAAAATAATAATTTTAGTTTATTCCTGTCACACATTACTCAGAGACAAAATTGTATGTGACAATCCATCGCAACAATTCATAAAAACAGCTCTTAAATAGTGACTTTCACTGACTGTAACACTGTATTTAAGTATCCAAGAAATATTTTACTGTAATTGGTAACATTAGATCTGTCATCTTGTTATTAGACAGTATCACAACAACATACCTTCACCGTGAGCTTGCATATACACGTGCCATACAGAAGGAAAGCATATATATATATATATATATCCTTTTTGTTTAGTTTTTTTGCTTTTCTTCGCTTTTGGGTCACTGGAGTAGATTTTCTAGTGTACGCCTGTAACCCTGTGACCATAGTCTGGATATAGCGGGCTACCACGTCCAGCAGCCGGGAAGGATCCCAGAAATATTGCCGGGTCTACCAGGCTGCCTGATTTAACAGCTGACTCTGCCTCTTTAGAGCCAGAGGTAGCAGTGCCTGCCCTTCCTCTGTCTGGCCTTCCAGTGTTCACTGTAGGAACAGAGAGGGAAGTGAGGAATCCCAGCGGGCAATGGTGACTGACCATGAGAATACCATGGGCTGACCGATTAGAGGTCACATGATTTGCTCAGCTTTTTGAATAGAGCCGGCATGTGACAGCTGCAGTGTCCCACACTGGCTCTAAGTATTGGGAAGAGTAGAATTTACTCTTCCAATACTTCTATCAATCACTTAACCCCACTGACCCCACAACATAACAGAGGTTAGCTCTTGCTTGTGTGATTTAGACCCAGGATTTTAGACAGCTCTAGCCACTTTGTACCTGCTACAGGTAAGGGCACCCCCCCTCCCCCGGTGCAGGTACCCAAGAGAGCAAGAAAAAAATAAAAATTCCTAGAGAAAAACTGTATAGCATATAATCTGATTATAATTACAAACAATACAATTATCTGATCTAAAACCCTGTCCAAGAGACATTTTAGTAAACTTGGATTAAAAAGTGTTTGCATTATATATGTTTGCTGAACAGCCTGTAAACTTTTAGGAATTTTCTAGATTACTACAT